GACACAGATGAATTATATGAATTTTAATTGTGACAACTATCCTATTAAATGGATTTTACTGGCAAAAGGGCATACCAAATCCAGCCTTTTTTTCCACCACCTCCCCCCTCCCCCCGTACCCACCACATCCTGTGTCTTCCCCATTCTCTAACTTTTTTGGGTTTTAGTAGAGCTTTTACGGCGCTCACCATCGCATAAGATCATATGAGCGCCATTCTCTAACTTTGAAAAGTCCCTTAACAACTAAAGTTGAAGAAAACCTAATTGGCGATTCGAATCAGTTCCATCTGCACCATAGCCCAATATAACATCACGCTACCTCAGAATTACAAAGTTCTATCTGACATTTTTGGCCGTTTTGTGTTACTAAGACCATGAGGTGAGAAACCAAACGTTCTATCTGCTCTATCAAAATTGTAAGACTATTCGGAGTCGTTATCCGGATATTCAAAGAGTTGCATTTGAAAAAACGTTTGACATGATGTGAAACTCAGAATCTTTGACGTCAAGTTTCTCAAAACTAAGTAATGAGCAGATAGAACTTTGTAATTCTGGGGTAGCGAGATGTTATATTGGGCTATGGTGCAGATATACGTATTGACAGCGAGCCCTTTGGTGTGAGAGGGAAGAAGAAGAGATATCAAGTTATATTTAGTCAAGGCTAAGAAAATAAACAAACACAAAATTCACAGCTGCCAAAAAAGTCGGATAACCTATCCATACCTCCTGGTGTCATTTTGTTCCCCCGTGGTTGTATTCTTCACATTTTAGAACACTTCTAGTATGATAATCATTTTGAAACTTTTAGTATTTCTCAAAAAAATCACTTTGACAGACTGCTATGTAAAGCGTACGGATCGGATTAACGAATAAATTTCTTCTTTGGAAAGTGGTGGCACAGAGTTCCCTAGGTCATATGGATACGATAGTAAAACACGAAGAACGGATGAGCTGTATTCCCACATACCTGTTCGGATGGTGACCACCTGTTTCTCCTCCTTGCAGAAAGGTCCAGTATAGTTCCAGTGGCAGATGCAGCCGATGGTGTTGTTTTCGTCTACTCGACCACAGTAGCCGTGCTGACCACAGTCCACCGAGCAGGGCTCATCGCAGAAGATGCCAGTCCAGTTCTGATGACACTCGCACGAGTACAGGCCGTCGGTGGATACACAGCTGTGGGAGAGGGGAGGATGGAGGGATGAGCTGAATGTTATATCCCATTAGATAGATAGATAGATAGATAGATAGATGGATGGATGGATGGATGGATGGATGGATGGATGGATGGATGGATGGATGGAT